ACTATTTGAAAATCTGGAATCTGAGGGTGCAAAACAATCTAAATATTGAGAAAATCGCCTTTAAAGTTGTCCAAATGAAGTTTTTAGCAATGCATATTACTAATCATCAATTAAGTTTTGATATATTTAAGGTAGGAAATCTACAAAATATCTTCATGGAACAAGATCTTTACTTAATATCCTAATGATTTTGGCATAAAAGAAAAATCGATAATTTTGACCCATACAGTGTATTTTTGGCTATTGCTACAAATATACCCGTGCTACTTATGACTGGTTTTGTGCTCCAGGGTCACATATACACTATTTTTTTTATTGTTTATTTTAAAAGTGGGAAATGTACATTAATTGACATGAGCATCATGTAAGTGTGCCAGATTTAGCCACACGTTAGTTTTCATCTGCAGTCCCTGCATTTAAAGGATCTATCAAGCTAAATTATGTGAATTTCTCTGAATTTCATTCCATTTTAATCCTATTAAAATTCAAATTTGAATTCTGCATCGTTTGCGATCTCATAAAAATTCCAGTTCAGAAAGTGAATTGAAATTGTAAAGGCATTTCAATTCAGCTCTGAATACTGCATAACATTCAGATGTTTAAAAACATCTTCATTCACTTTAAAATCACTTCATTTCACCCTCTAACTCTAGAACTCTCTTTTCTAATTCTATTTCATCTACTTGTTTTTTTTTTTTAAACAATTAACCCTCTAACACTTGCACTCTCTATTCTATTTCTATTCTAACTACTTGTTGTCTTTAAAAAAGAGCCTCTAACACTAGCATTCTCTATTCTTTTTCTATTCTTTTGACTTGTTTTACTTTTATTTTAAAAAATGACCCTCTAACACTAACGTTACCTATTCTTTTTCTATTCTATCTACTTGTTGTCTTTTTATTTATTATTAAGAAAAAACTTGCTATGTTTACTGTGTTAGACGAACCGAGACTTGTCACAGCACTTACATATTATTGCTTTTTTTGGACTTTGATTGCTTCTATTGTCCTCATTTGTAAGTCGCTTTGGATAAAAGCGTCTGCTAAATGACTAAATGTAAATGTAAATTTACCATGTTTCTGTCCAATCTCTAGTAGGACTGGCTCTCCTAACTCAATACTGAAGGTCTTGTTCTTTTCATACTCTTCATCATCTATAATCTTCACCTCGATTGTTTTCCTGTAGAGAGAGGGAAATAGAGACATGGTGACACAGTGCTATTTTTTAAACACACTTACATGATTTCTATTTTAATTACTCTAACACATGCACCCACACGCTGTGAAACTATGACTCTAAACAGCAAGAATTTCAGTTTAATGAATTTGTGTGTACACATCTGTAATTCACACCAGGATTTGCATAACACTGACATAAAGTAAACAAGCACACACCCAAAATGCATCATAATTTCATGCATTATTAATGATGTTTTGTTTCGCCAATGTAAATGTCACTGAGGGTGGAAACTTTAAGTACAGGATTCAGAATAATTGCTTCATAATTAATAAACAAAGTGAGAACATCTTACTCCCATAGAGAGATATTACAGCATTGTTCTCCTCAAACAACCACTTTGAGCTATAATAAGAACTGCACAATAGTTTAACAAGCACACTGAAACTGTTCAGCCAATCCTGCACAGAAATCACTTACAAAAATACAGTACCATGATAATACCAGTAGTTTTTTGTGGTACATGTGACACGCTGTGGTTAAAAATACAGTAAAACGGTAATATTATGAAATATTTCTATAATTCAAAATAACTGTTTTCTGGTTTAACACATTTTAAAATGTAATTGATTCCTGCCTTGGCAACGCTGAATATATATGATTTTAAAAAATGATGTCTTCATTAAATGTTTGTAAACAGTTGTGAACCATTTACCTGGTGCACACTACATTAAAGAACATTTGCAACTTGAATGAGCTGTAAACATAAGGTCTTGAAAAATAAGAAAAAAAGATATGAAAAACACTACAATATTCATAGTGAAATGAGAGAATAAGCAGAGGTAGTCCACTCAGGACCACAGTTGTATTTTGTAGGGGGATATCAAATCTGGGACAGACTGAAAAGAAAATTACAGAGTGGAAGAGCGATATATTATTTATTTAGATATGATATATTTATACTTTTTAGAGTCTCAACAGTACTCACAGACTGTTTATGTGTGTGCATATATGGATACGCAAGAGGTTAAAAGCCCCTGTGTCAAGAACAAATGAATATTATTATGGCTATCGTACCTCAGTGTTATAGTGTTCCCACTTTCACCACCCACTGACTTCATTACACATTCATTCATCTTTGTTCAATTAAAACTGACAGATACATTAAATTAAAGCAGGCTTAATCAATAGCTCTCATCTTCTTCTCTGTGAGGAACAGAAAGAGTAAGACAGAGACAAAGAGAGTGAATACATTTTTTAAAGAGGATGAAAAAATCTTCTGTTGACAGTGGGATTTTCTGCTCTATTCCATACATTCAAGCATATAAGCGCAACTGCACAAACTCAGAAGCAAACGTTCTGAATTTGAAAGTATTACAGATCATAAGTGTCTCTTATATTTAATCTTCCTTCCCAATGGAGCAATTTCAACACTTTTCCTATCCTCATGTTTTGCTCAATCCATTAATTCAATGTCAGCTTGACTGATCAAACTTTAGCTTAGATTATTCATGAGCTGAGATTCAAACTTCTCCTACGAAGACTGAGGAAATACAGTTGAGCTCTTTTTACCTTTCTTTACCTTTCTCTGTCCTCTAGCTTTCAAACTCTTGATGTATAAATGTTGCGTACGCACATTTCCATTCCCATTTTTTGCGTACGCAACATTTATACATCAGAGTAATTTTCCACGCATATATCGGGATTTATAAAAAAACTAACTAGGCGTAAATATGTGCGCACCGTATGGACAGTCTAGACCAGGGTTCCTTAAAATCTTGCCCTGAGGGCCAAT